ATGAACGAGTTAAAAGTTTGAACGATTTCCCATATGTTAAAAATAATGAGTTGTTAATGAGAGAACATAAAATTAATTTAATAGTTTTGACGGTTTTTTTTTTTTGTTTTTTTTTGTAAAATAAAATATTCATTTTTTAAAAAAACCGGAATAAATGTCAAGTCAAGGCTTTTCAATCTCATAAATTATTTTTTAAAAAACAAAAAAACGCGCAACTTTTTAGTTTTTCTAACATATGAGATGAGGTACGTAAAAAAAAAAAAAAAAAAAAAAAAATACAGTCTAAGGAACAAGTAATGGTTATTAAGGTAATTTTTTTTTAAAAAAAAGAAATAAATTAAAATATTCATATACCTTACCCAGCCATAAAGAGAAAAATTTACAACCATTTAAAAAAAAGATTTATAATTGCTTATGCCCATGGAGGCAGCAATAACTTTAAAAACTTTTTACTCATTACATATTTTAATTTTTTTTTTTTTTTTTACTACTAAACGTTGTTTTTTTTTATTTATCAATATAATAAATATTTAATATATTCGTGAACACATTCAAAATGTTAATAATTTTTTTTTTTGAAAATTCAAACCGAACGGTTTGATAGGTCGTGAACAACTGAAGAAAAGACGCCGTATTTCGTATTTTTTAAATGAAAATACCGCATAACTTACTTGCTGGAAACTCTGGAATTTAAACTTACATTATGTATTCTCTCTTGTCTCCAGCTTCATCATTTTTTTTTTTTTTAAATTTGATCCGTAATAATTTTTTTAAATATGAATAAAAAAAACCTTTTGAAACGTTTGTTATAAAATTATTTAAATATATCAGACACCAATTAAAAAAAGAAAAAAAGTTTTTCAAGTGGGCGTCGTTATTATTATTATGGAATTTATTATTTAATAATTATTTTTATATTATTTTGAATTCATACTTAACACAATAAATTGTAATTTAATTGAAATTAATAACCGATTTCTCCTAATGGTTCAATGCCTCTAGCAACATATACATATAACAAAAAAAAAATTAGTTAAATTTATTAAAAATTCAATTTATAAAATTTATTTTTTTAATGATTACAAACACATCATTCATCAATTAAAAAAAATTTTTGCACATCGTTTAAGGTTTACTATAAAAAAAAAAAAAATTTAAATTTTTTTACATAAACAATAATTATTTACAATTGTGCAAATAAAAAATGGCTATGAATTATACAATTAAAACAAATTATATATTATTTATTTACATTCATCAAGGAATATAAAAATTTTTTTTTATTTTAGATCAATTAACTTTCGATCATGTTTTACTAAATAAATTACTTTTTATTTAATTTATAATTTTTTTTACTATTTTTTTTTATTATTATTAAATTAACAACTGACACATTTTATTGCATCAAAAAAGCTGAAAATTTTTTTTTTAAAATCTACTTCACATTTGACAGTTTTCCTTCTATTTTATTTATTTATATGATATGATACTTTCTCTTATAAACGTCAATAACAACTGACTCGTATTTTTCCCTCCCAGATAAAAATGTTGACATTTTTTATTTATATATTTATATTAAATATTGCAAAAAAAAAAATTGTAAATAAATAATTTTATGCAAGGATTTCATTCTAGCATTCTCGGAATTATAATTTTAACATTTTTTTTTTTTCAATTACCGGAAGAGATTTTTTCAATAAAATATTATTTAATTTTTTTTTTCTTTTTAAACGAGTAGAGTCGGTAAAGATTTTTTCCCGGGCCAAGCTTCTTTGGCGTATTTTTTCTTTTTTGGTTCAATCTCAGGTTGTTGTGGTGCAACTGATTGTACAGGAGCCGTAGAAGGTGTGAAATGATCTACATCAGGAGCTGGATTCGGTAGGGTTAGTCCAAGTCTGGTAGCCATCGTTGACGAATATTGGATGGATGAAGAAATGATAGAAGAACTTTGCTCGGCAGGAAGATTGTCGTATAATGACGGCATTAAAACTGATGTCGGAAGGTGCTTTACATACACTCTTTCTTCTGTGTTTACTAATCCAGAAGTTACTCCTCCGGGTACTTCCATTCTTTGTTTCTGAAATTAATACAGATAACCAATTATGTTTTATTTGAAACAAAAGTTTTAAATACAAATTATAACTTGAAATTTACCCTAGAAGGTATTATTGTAGTATGTACTAAATTTCTAAATCTTCCAACAGACGGATCAACATCTTCGGGATTAATTATTTCCTCCTCTTCATTCCATGTAATCCCTTTGCGTTTTTTTTTCCTAGGGGGTCCTCTTATTTCGTCTTCTGTAATTCCTAACATTGATATTCTTCTATTGTGTGCTGTGTTAAATTCGGTTAAATTCTGCAAAGAAAAATTTTAAATGATTTAATTACAAATAGTCTTTATGACTTTAACATTTTTTATTACTACTATTGATTTTTACACAAGAATTTATTTAACAATTTATTGGTAATAATTTGTTTTCAGAGATGACATTGACATTAAACTCATAAAAATAATAATAGCATTAACAAAAATAAGAAAATAAGTAAAAAACTTAGATAACTGACATCCAGCTCTGTTTCAGTCTCAGGTAGCCCTAATAATCCTCCCTCAGCTTCATCAGTTGCTTTTTCTAATTCTTCCATTATTGGTTTAGACCCTTGAGTAGGTCTTTCTCTTAATATATAATTTCTAGTTGAAGCACCAAAATGAAACATACTATCTATAGGCAACTGAGTTGGTTTTTGAGCTTCTATTCTAACAGATCCTATAAATGTTCCATGTGCTAAAAAATAATACAAAACAATTAGATAATTAAAAAAAAACCACATGAAAATACACTTATAAGAAAAACTGAGTCTTTACTTACTACTTCCTAGATCGACTAAAAAAGCTCGATTTAAATGTTTGTGATAAACGAAAGCAGCATGCACACGAGAACATGATTGATGATCTATACAAAAATCATTAAGTTGTGGGTTTCTCCCAAATAAATAACATTTTTTCTCATCAAGCATTAGTTTTTGAATAAGTTTATCCCCTTTTAATACATCAAGGTGAAGTCCCACTGGAGGTTTACCTGCCCTGAAAAAAAAAATAATTTTGATAATATTAATAAAAATTTTTATTTGAAACAATTTTTTGATTTTTTAAAAGGGGTTTTTTTCACGTTTTAAACAATAAAATATTAAATAATTTTCTAATTTATTTTATTTTATTTATTCTCTTTTTTAATAATAAAAGAAAATTAACTTAAAACATTAAAAAAGGTAATGTTTCTAAAATGAAAATTTAAAATTTTGTTTCCATATATATAAGTTTTAAGTTTATAATTTTGTAAATAAAAATCTACCGAAATCTAAAATGAAGTTGAAAGTTATTAAAATTATATTTTAATATAATTTGATGAATAAAAATTAAAGGGAAATGAATTAAAATATAAATGTGTGACAGCATTTATCATAAAAATATTTACCAGTTAGGTACATTATAATGATTCGCCATCTCTTTTGTTTACCATCGAACATAAACTATATTTTTGTCGGCCATAGTTTTCATTTTAGCCAACATTTGAAAAACGTTTTTGGCAAAGTTAATTCAACCGTCTGCTTGTTTACGAGCGTTATTTTAAAATTGAATTTTTCAAAATAATAAAAATAATGATAAAAATATAAATCAATCTAATAAGGTAAATTAATAATTTAAAAGTTTAATACTTAATGATTAATTATAACTTATGATGAAAGATTCACTAAAGTGTTTAAATATAATTGGATATTTTTT